CTTTGCACGTACTGTGAGCGATGCACATGATTATTACACACCCACACACCTAGTACAGCTGCACAAGTACTAGGGAGCTCCTCCAGCAGTGATGTAGCATCTGTAACATTTCCAGGGGAGTCCTCTGGCTGACCATAAACCTGATCTCCACGAAACACCACTTTGCTGCATGAGGGCAGATGCAACTCAGTCTTCTAACACATTTCCCCAATGATTTTAATAGTTAAGACACATGAACCACATGTGTACATGCAAGGTTCTGTTTCCTGGTGTGAACACTGAAACACAAAAGACACTAACTGCAAAAGAAAGGCATTTCCCCCACAACTGAATCATGAATCTCTCAGTTCCCTGTTAGTCTAACCCCAGTGTCGGCAGGCTGGATATTAGAGGAGGTCTCCACTCCAAAGGAGAGTTTTCAACTGCTCCAGCTCTCTGCTGGGACAAACAGCTGTGACAGCACCAGTTTCCTTTTGTCACTACAAATGGTGAGACTCATACCTGGCAAACAACTCTTACAGCAGCTTGTCAGTGAAAAGGAAGCACCTTCAGAGAGAACCTCTCGTGCTTTGCTGTGGAGAGCAGCTGTGGAAACCAGAGCCTAAAATAACAGAGTTGTTCCCTGACAGATTTCTTTAGAATTAGGTTTGTTTGGTCTCGACCTTTGCCCACTCCCACAACATAAAGGCATAGCAGCATTTCTAGCAATGAAAACTGAACTACTTTTCACTGAATTTTAAGTCCATTATTTCTGAAGGCAACCATATAAAACTGAAAATTTAGAAATACAGCACATAAAACTATCTACCATTATGCAAGCACCAATGGTGCAGCTGTTACTAAATGAAAACAAATTAAACATTTATCACAAGGAATTACATGGGAGAGGCAGAAAGGAACAAAAATGGGTTAAAGAGGAAGAGACTGTAGTGGACTAGCCACCTAAAAAAATAAATCATGATTTACAGCCAGTGTTTTCGCTCCTTAAAATCATTTGCCCATTATATTTAACATCTGATCTACAAGTAGAAAACTATTTAAAGATAGTTTCTACTCATAGAATCATAGAATTTTAGGGGTTAGAATGGCCCTTACAGGTCATCTAGCCACAACCTCCTGCCATGGGCAGGGACACTTCCCACCAGAGCAGGTTACTCAAGGTTTTATCCAACCTGGCTTTGAACACTGCCAGGGTTGGGGCATCTACTACCTCCCTGGGCAACCTGCTCCAGTGTCTCACCACTCTCACAGTAAAAAACGTTTTCCTAATAGCCTAAATTTCCCCTCCTTCAATTTGAACCCATTACCCCTTGTCCTGTCACTGCAGTTCCTAATAGAGTTCCTCTCTGGGCCCCAAGCAAAACAAAGCTGTTTAAGCTTTTGTCCAATAGCTGAACTGAGCATTCCCTAGAAGTATTTGATCTATTACACAGTAAAATACACAGTATTATGGTATAGTAAATTGGTATTTCATTATATTCAATAGAGACACATAAAAAGCAACGACAAAGGCACATCTGAACACCCACTCTGTGCAGTCAAGGTTTGTATATGTACTGGTAGCAGATAATATGTGTGACTCCTGGAAATAGACTGCAAGTGGACAAACAGGACAAGTACCTGCACAACACAGCCATGCACATGAGTTACACCAGCAGGCAGCAGACAGGATAGAACAAGAACCCTGAGGGCAGATCTGGCTCATCTGGAGAATGCCCCAGTCTCCAGGCTGGATCCTGGAACAGAAACACTTCTAACACAATTTAAATCAACACCATGGAGAACAGACTATCAAAACTTTCTTCCCATTCTTCCTTAAGCAAAGTGATCCAACTGTAAACTCTTAAGTTGTAAACCACTCAGTTGAAGTCTCTAGGGCATGGGCCTGCAGGAGACAAACAGTATCTGCAAAAGCAAATGCCACTCAGCTAGCTGAAAATTTTACAAGATTGGACTTTCAAACACATGTTTATGACTTTTTCCTGACAGAGCATTGAAATACTGGAGTAACAACCAGAAAAAAACAAATAGCACAGAAATTCAGGATGAAAATAAAGCTACAACACACTAGGCATAATCTGACAATAATATAAACAGAACACCAGTATTTGAAAAAGAAAAAAAAGTTACAACAAATGCAAACTATAAAGGAAAAGAGCAGATTTTGAAGATGAAGCTTTCACTACCAACACATACTTTGACCTGACGCTTCCAAATAAACCAAGTATGTAAATGTTTTCAGCAATTAATTTAGAATTATGTATTTAAAATGTAGTGTATTTTTTCAATTTGTACCTTGTATCTAGCCAAGAAGTCCCTCAAACTATTACTACATAGATTACAAAGCCTCTTTTATTGACAATAATTAAGCTCTATTACCTTAGACATAATAAACTTGGTTAATTTTTCAATTCAACAGAAATTTAGTTTCCCCATTAACTCCAGTTTTGGGGTATTTCATAAAATGATACAGATACACTCTAATAAAAAATTCACTTTAATATATTCATTATACAGACTTAATACACAACTTTGTATATTAGAAACTGCATTACAATAAGTACATGAAGCACTGCTTTTTTTTTCCTCTATCCCCAAGATTTTTGGCTTCATGATCCTGCTAAGAACTGATGTTTTGTTTGCTTCAAGCTTCAAGTCAGCTATGGAGTTTCTATAGGAACTTAATACCATTAAGTACTGCAAAATAAATATATGTGCACTTTATACTGCATGTATACCTGAGCTATAGGTGAAGGATTCCTACAAACAGGGTCAGAGGATGATAAACCTGTCCATGTCAAATTTAAATGACAGGCAATAAAACAGTCAATAAACTTCAAAACATTCAGAAAACAAATGATGATGATGCAGAACACATATTATGCTGTTTTCCACAATCCTATCAACCAGCTGATTTTAATCAGAAAAGGTATCCTTAGACAACCGAGCTCTTGATTTCTTGACTTTTCATACCACAGTAAAGTTAAACCAAATCAAATGAGATAAATCACAGTGATGAATGTTCAAACAGTATGACCTGTGCCTGACTTTCTGATGCAGTTCGCTTGAGCAGCCTAATTTGGTCCAGTTCTGGGTGCCCCACTGCTTTCCGAGTTAGAGACTGCACTGGGTCAGCTATGTTGTATCTGCCAGGCTGATAAAAGCCATAATACTCTATTCTCTTTTCCCCTGAGTTTTCCAGCACTTTTAGTTTCTGCCTAAACTGGATAACTTTACAGGTTAAGAACAGGATCACAGCACAAGCCAGAATGAAGAAGGCTAGTAAAATGTCAAAAGCCTGGTTCAGCTTTTCAACTTGCTGTGTACAAATCAGAGATGTTTTTAATGACACAGGAGCAGCACCTGTTGGAGACAAATCTTCTTCTTGTACGGTTCTGTTAGTAGGTATAATCTGTGCTGATATTTGCACTGGTAATGTTGTTAAGTGTGTAGTTATCTGTGATGGAATTTCAACAGCATTTTCTGCATAGGGCAGTGGGGTAGCAGATGTAGCTGTAGTTTCTCCCCATAGAGCAACATCCTTAGTTTCTGCTTTGACAAACTGCTCAAGTGTGTTGTGCCTGTTTCCCTTATGCCATGCCATCAGCAGAGTGGTAGCACTGCGACGGACACCGATGGATCCCAGACCCCAGGCAGTGTCTGGGCTGGCAGTGGGGCTAATGCAGTCTGCAAACTGAGTCCACTTAATGTAATGCAAAGGTCTACCACGCATACTCTGGGGATTCTGACAGTCAATCCTTACAGAAACAGGAGATGATGCCAGCCAGTTAAGTAGCCCAAGCATTTTGCAGCTGCAGTTCCAAGGATTAGAGTTTACCTGTAGATGAGTTAAAGATACTAAGGGCTTGAGCACTTCAGGTTGTAACTCTGTAATATTATTAAATGCTAAACTGAGTATTTTAAGTGACTGTCCCATTTTTTCAAAGGTACCATCGCCAATGCTGGCTATTTTATTTCTGTCTAGCTGCAGATACATTAAATTGTTTAATAAATTAAAAGTGCTGGAATTAATATTTTCTAAATCATTATAACTTAAGATTAACTGGGTAAGGTTGTTTAATCCAAAAAATCCATTTACAGCAATGCATTTTAGCTTGACGTTTCTTAAAGACAGATACCTAAGCTTGTTAAGTCCTTTAAATGCAAAAGGTTGTATTGATCCAATGGGATTGTGAGACAAAGAAAGTCTTTCAAGATTTTGGAGCCTTCCAAGAGCATTCGATGGCACAAGTGTTAAGTTGTTACCTTCGAGAAACAAATATGCAAGGTTTTCAAGATGATGAAATGCCGAATCTGATATCCGTGAAATCTTATTATTGCCTAGGTTTAGTGCTTGGAGACTTCTCATTCCCAAGAAAGTCCCACTCCCAAGGACACTGAGACGATTTCTTTGAAGCGTTAAGTGTCTAACAGAAAGGAGATCACTAAATAATCCTCTGGGAACAAAAGCTATTTGATTACTCTGAAGGTACAAACAACGAAGATTGGAGAGACCTTCAAAGATCCCTGGATCCAGGCGTTTAATATTATTGTTATTTAGATGCAAGTAACACAGTCTGGGGAGCTCCACAAAAGCTTTTGGGTGTACATACAAAACACTGGAGTTATCCATGTAGAGTGCAGCGAGATTCTGAAGGCCTCTTAGTTCGTTTGGAGTGACACGTGAGATATTATTTCCACTGAGGTACACAAGAACTGCGGATTTTGGAAAGTTCCGAGGGATGCTCGAGAGCCCCGCGTTACGACAGCTAACCTGCCTCCCTGTGCAGAGCTGGCAAGCAGAGGGACAGCCAAAAGCCTCCTTCTGGAGCAGCAACAAAAGAAAACAATTAAGCATACACAGCAATGCTCCTGGACAGGGTGGAGAACTTTGCAGAACACACATATCCCTGTCTTTGGCCTTCTTACTCATCTCTGACTTCACTAGTAGAGCTAAAAAGAAGTATATAAATATTATTAATTCAAAAGCTTAAAGATTCAATGTGTACAGTCTTTAAAATAGAGTTATTGCTCTCAGGATTGGTATTTTACATATTCTTTCACACCAAACAAGCAGTTTAGAACTTAAAACTTACTAAGTTCAAACTACACTGAAGAAATATTTTCAGAGTAAACGAGCAATGAAATAAATGTACTGACAACCCTGCCAGAAAATACTTAATTGTATGCATCATAAAAGCATGTAAGCTTCCAAAAGAATGACTTCTATTAAATTCAAAATACTATTTAACTACTTTTTATAGTTTCAAAGAGTTTCAAAAACATTCAAGTAGAAATGCAAATTGGAAACAAGTTTCCTTTCACTGGCAGCTTGACTGTAATTTGAATTTTACTTTTATAAAGCTGAGTTACATTCAAAATCAAACAAGAACAACTCCTTACCCCAAATCTGAAGTTCATTATTCCTGGTATTTTGCCGCGTGCAGTTCATTGGACTCAGGTATGAGCTGAGTGACTACACTCATCCGTGAGACCTCTGTAAAGGCAGTATTGCTGTGTACTGGAGCACTCACATTTTTGCCCCAGGATTTGTAACAGTTTGCTCAGGAAACTAAAAAAGAAGTGCTTAAAGTGAGGTTGCCATGGATACAGGAAACCCTGGGACAGGAAGCCACTTTATCTGTGCTTCAGAAGTATTGTTGGAAAGGAAATCTCAATGATTTGTTTCTAGAAAACCAAGGACTGTCCTAGCCTGTAACTGCTGCTTTTCAGTTTGCACTTTGTAAATCTACTGGTTTAACTACAAGAGCTCAAAAGAGTTTTATCTTAGTTAGCTATAACTTTGAGAATACTATTTGCAACAATATGTTGCATTATCTGTAATTCTTTCATCTTTCAGCCAGAATCTGAAATGTTTTACTGAATCACTAGCAACAACTGCACTGTTCTCTCTCTGTCTAACACACACACACACACACACACACACACCTAGGGGCCCAGCAGAGAGGACAGCCTGGAGGGAGGAGCCCAGGTGCTTCCCTCACTCAGCAAGGCACACCCTGGAAACCCCAGGAAGTCTCTCAGGTGAGAACCACATGACTACACTGCTGTGTATTTGTTGTGTTTCAGACTTGACCCACGCACACTATAAAGTCTCACTTCAGGCCACCTGTTTTAAAGCCAGTTTGTCCTCAGAGGACTGCGGTTCTGAGAGCCACACCTTTGGTGCACAGCTTTCATTTCCTGCAGTGTCCCTTGTACAAATAAACAGTACAAACATGGGCTATAAATACCTTGCTCATTTAAGGACCAGAGATTACATCCTCAATTTATTCATCACAGGGACGGGACACTTGCAAAGTCCAGTCACATCACCAAAGGGGGAAAGGGGAGATTAAGCCTATAAATACCAATGTAACTACAAACCCATCATTTTACTGGACCAAAACCTTCTGCTCAGCAAAACAAAGATGATGAAATCCACCAGCAGCCTTAGGAAGAGGCACAAGAGCAGGAGAATTGTCACTCCAGCTACAATGACCTCAACACAGGAAGCCTGAGCTCACAATAAGGGGTGAAAAATAACCCAAATATCTTTGTCTATATAATCCAAGCTGAAACACATGAAACACATGAGAAAAGGAAGCAAAATAGACAAGGACATGCTTCTGAAGAAGCTTTCTTCCAAATATCTTATACAAAATAAGAAATCAGCAGGACCAGTAAAATTGGTCCATGGGCTATTTTAGACAAAGCCTGTATCGATTACAACCAGAATTACAACAGCAATTGGTTCTTATTTCCTGACACAAATAAATCAATATGGAAACTAACTGTTCTTTAGATATAACTATTTATTTTCATGTTTTAGTTTTTTTCATGGTATTTAAAATAATAGTCAGCATAAGGAAAAGTAAAGTAAAATGGCACATCATTTGCTTAAAGGGAAAACAGTGCATAGGTTTGAACAGCTCTCAGGAAGATTGGTGAAGTATCCTGGGTAAGGGGAAGAGAACAGTAGGAGTAATTGAAAAAGATTATCCAGATCAAATAGAATCAGATGAGAAGGAAAAACAGAGATTGACCAAAAATGTAAAGTGTCTTCAACCAGGAAATTATCTTCTACCTCAGCTTCACTACCTATAGTCCATTTATGCTGATATTTATATGTGTAAAAAAAAAAAATCAATTATTTCTCCCAAGATGTGCTGTGTGAAACAATCCCTACAAGATGCAAGTCAAATGGAAAAAAAGTTTTAAAAGGCAAATGTTAATAGTTCTCCCTTTTTGCAAAATGTCAGAAGTAACAGATTTTGAAAGACTAAGGGAATTGATGAGGCTCTGTGGGATATCAGATAGCATGAAAATTTACATAACCCAGTAGAGTAGTGGCAAGATAAATGAAAGCTGGTGCCTAGTAAGTGGCTGATTGTCTCTGTGGTCTTGTACAGGAAGTACCTTATCAATACTCACAAAAATTTAGCTTGAACCTTAGATGCCACTGAGGTTCTCAACAGATAACTGACCTTTCTGATTCTTGGATCCCATATCCAAAACGAGGAGAATACCCTCCCATCTTAATCCAGGTCATGCGTCCTTCCAATTTGCACTAGGAAATCTAGAGAAAGTCCTGTGTTATGCTTTGTAAATATGTCACTTGTAAATCCAATTGGATTGTAATTTACAGGTACTGCTTCACATGCTGATGAAGTATCTGAAAGCACTATCTGTTAAGAATGAGAGGCAGAGTAACATGCCACATAACTGATCCCATTTGGGGGAAAACCATAAAAAAAAGCCTGGGATACACATGTAATTTGGATCAGCATTACCCAAACTGGCTTGGACTTAGACAATAAAATTCACTAATAGATGAAAACTATTAGGAAAAAAAACAGGAAAACCCACAAGCATTTCTTTCCAACAAGTTTAGGCAGCTGTCATAGTGATATTTATTCACTGCAAATTTTGTTCTCCAGAAAGAGAAATACTAGGTTTGTATCTGAACACAGTTTCACATGGCAACAGAGAAAATTACTGTGGAATCCTGAAGTGAATTTTATCTCAATATCCTAACATTGACAAGGTTACTACTGTTTCTGCTTTTCAACATTAAAATCTAGTTCAACAGTGAGTCCTTGTCAATACAAGCATGAAGGCTGAGTAACAGCAATTTGTCAAATTGTGCATGAAGTGACAGACAGGTCAAAGGAACTGAAAGAACATACCAGCACCTGATTCATCCTTTCCAAATGTCAGATTAAAGCCAATATAATTAATGTTAGCTAGCATAAAACAGTCATCCAAATCCTGTTCATGTGTAGCAGAAAACATGCAACACATTCAAAAACAGGGTCTAAAGTCAACTTCTGAAGAGGGATTTCATTCTCATAATCACTACAAAATTGTGTTAAAGCCCACAAATGAGAACAACCAGGTTTTAGCACTGTAATTATTCTTTTAAGCTTGTAAGACTGAAACTATCTGTTGCCCTCCCACTGTTTGTTTAGCAAATAATAGACCTCATGCAGGTCTTCCTTCCTTCCTTCTTTTATTCTCCACAGTACTTTATGACACAATCTTCTTGCTTTGTTTTCAAGTACCTACTACCTTCTGCCCACATTGTCTCCAGATATGACCACAAATCAAAGTAATTCAGGTACTAACCTTCTGCTTGAGTAGCATACACATGAACCTTTCATTATCATCCAGTTGGCAGGTGAACTGTGGACACCTTATTAGCCTATCAGACCCCCAAAACCATTTCTGTTTTTCTCATTATTGTCTAGTTTATCTAAAAATTTCTGATTGTCTCAAATATTGCAAACTCCTCCTAGTATTTCATATTTCTAAGTAAAAATCTCAATTTGCAGCTTCATTTACTGAAAATTTCTCTGTTCCACAAAGTGCTATTCCACTCTCAAAGAGCAACAGTGATAATTACAAAGAGGAGAAACAGGCATAGAAATTGTAATACCAAGTTAATAACCAAGCAAACCCATTCCTGTTTTATAAACCCTCAGTACTAAACATACATCACAAAATCTATTTCTAAATTACAAAGCTTATTTTCCATTTTAAACTTGGCATTTATTATTTTTTATTAAATTATCAAGCAAGTCTTGTAATATCCTGAGAAACAGTAGGCAACTACAAAATTATACTGTCCTATTGAGGATAAGAAAGTAAGTCTTCCTTCTATAAACCTGATTTGACTTTAGACTCTGGTAAAATAATGTAACAGTAAGCTCTTGTGAAACTAAGAGAATCACAGAACCATAGAATTTAAGGGTTGGAATGGACCTTACAGGTCACCCAGCCCCAACCCCTGCCCTGGGCAGGGACACCTCCTCACTAGATCAGGTTGGTGGTTGTTCAAAGCTTCATCCAGCCTGGTCCTGAACACCCCCAGGGTCAGGGCAGTCACCACCTCCCTGGGCAACCTGTGCCAGTGTCAAACCACCCTCACAGGAAAAAACTTTCTTCTAATATCTAGCCTAAACTTCCCCTCCTTCAGTTTGAACCCATTACCCCACCCCTTGCCATTGCAATTCCTAGAGCTCACTTTAAGGGCTCACTTTGAGCTAAAAGAGCTCACTTTGAGAAATTGTTGGAGTGTATTTCATTTCCTTATTCAGAAAATAAAGTCTTCTACGGAGCAACCAGTAAATCTGTGAACAAAACAGTAACACAGAAAAGGTTGGCCATCCATGAAACCCACTGATGTGATATGCTGATAGCAGTGATATTTACAGCTTTAGCCTTGACTATTCACTGCAATATTTAGTATATTCTCTTTGAACTATAAAGGCAATAAGAAATGTACTCAATGTGAATGCAATTCAAACCAAAAGGTTTCAAGAATCCAAAGCAAAGTAATTTACCAAATTTCAAACTGGATAAATAATTCACCTCCTAGAAATCGATTCAAAACTAAATCCAATTGTAAAGCAACACCACGCCTGCTGGTTT